GGGGGGAAGAAAAAGGTTAACACCAATTTTGCATCTGGTCCTTTTTATCAGAAAAGCCTTTCTCCCCTTATCTCATTGGCTAAAGTCAGAATGCACGGTCAGCCTAACAACAAATCAGCTTTTTAAGACAGAGACAAGGAAGAAGTTAGGAATGACCTATCACATCTAACCTGTAACCACCTTTAATATGTAAATGTAAGTTAACATGTATACCCTGAATATTAGAGATTTATAATAGATCTTAATGACCTTTTCTTATTTTTTATCTTGCAGAGTAGTTGGTGATGGTGGCAGTATATCCAGGGGAAAAATACGTTCTTTAAAAGCACGCGTAAGATATATATGTTTGGATTCTTACATTGGAAAAAGCTAGAAAAAGAGAACATCATTTCGTAGACTACTCCTGATTTGAGACTTTTTTCACCACCATATCTGGATGGGAGGTGATGGAATTAGTTTTAGGAAATAAAATATCAGTGTGGATTTTTCTCCTTAGGAGTTCTTAGTATTTTATGGGCTATGATCACTGAAGAGTCTGGGCTTCACAAGATTAGTTGCTGCTTGGTTTTCTCAACAAGCCAATACTCAGAATTATGCAGATCCTATATTATGATTATGAAAAAGCCAGAAGCTGTTACCTTGTGGGTCTAGAAGAAAATACAAAGAACAGTTGTGACTCCAGACCTCAGATACCTAAATGAGAAATGCAGAATACACTCTCAAAATATAATTAACTTGGAAAGGAAAAATAAACCAAGAACTTGATGTGATTAAGGAAGAATTGGGAAGATTGTATGTTATGTTAAGGTTTTAAAATGGACTAAATGATTCTGTCAAAAGAGGAGGGGTAAACCCTTGTAAGATAGTCAGGGGATAACATGTACTTTTTGTTTTCCATACAACATCTCTATTTTTTTCTTTTTTATATATGTAAATATATATATATAATTTATTTATTATTTTATTTATTTACTTATTTATTTTGGGCCAGTCATGGAGCTTGAACTCGGGCCCTGTCCCTGAGCTCTTTTTTTTTTTAATAAGTTTTTTTATTATGAAAATACTATACAGAGGGGTTACAATTACATGAGCAAGGTAATGAGTACATTTCTTATCAAGCATTGTTGCCTCCTCCTTTGTTTCCCCTTCCCATTCCTTCCCTCCCGCCCACCAAAGTTGTAAAGTTCGTTTTTCGACATAATGTCTTGTACATCTCATTGTTGCAATGGGTCCACCTGTATCCCTATTTAAACAATTTTTTTCCCTTCCCTTCCCCAAATTATACCAACATCAAATACAGTGAAAACAGAGGTTATACCAGAGGGGAAGGACATACAAAGCAACAAAAACATCATGTGGTACCTTATAAATATGTTAGAAACAATAGCAAGAAAGAAAAAACCACTTGTGTCCTTATCTTGGGGTTCATTTCGCTTAACATCTGACCTTTTCTGCTAGTCTCAGACATATACTAGTTATTGCAAATAAGGGAAACCATGGGACCTATGTTTCTTTAGGCCTGGCTTACTTCACTTAATATAATTTTTTCCAAGTCTTTCCATTTCCTAACAAATGGGGTAATGCCATTCTTTCTGATGGAGGCATAGAATTCCATAGTATATGCGCTCTTTTGCTCAAGACTAGCACTCTACCACTTTGAGCCACAGCACCACTTTCTGTTTTCTGATAGTTAATTGGAAATAAGATTCTCACAGAACTTTCCTGCCTGGACTGGCTTTGAACCACAATCCTCAGATCTGTCTCCTGAGTAGCTAGAATTATAGGCGTGAGACACCAGCGCCCAGCCTCATTTATAATCTTACACAACCTGTAGTAATCCATCTAGTTAAGTCCTTCTTATGTTTATATGTTAAAGACAGCTTTTAGGTAAATATTAAATGCTCTTAGAAATATTCTGTGCAATCACTAAAGTTGCCAGTTTATAACTATATAGGCATATGTATGTAAACATAAAATATATGTAAATGTTTACATATATGCATATAATATATATGTTTATATAAAGTAGCAGTATGTAAGAGACAATTTGTTAAACATACATTTTTGTGACTTCTGTAATTATATAGTAAAGTAGCATAGCTAATTATACAAATTAATTCAACAGCATTTATATGTGTATAAATTGTAACTTTTACACAGTATTCTGAAATATCAAAATTTGTTTTCCTTTCAACTGAGCAGTCCCACATAGAGTTTAATGATTAAGAGTCTGCTACCAGGCTATTTGGATTTGAGTTCCCATTTGCCAGCTGTGTTATCACAGCTGGTCAGTTCACTTTTGAGGCTTCAGGTTCCTCACCTATAATATGAGGAGAATAACACCTATAAATGGTTCCACGCATATAGCATATTTAGAACATTAGCTTACAGTAATTGCTTCATGTTTTGTGGTTAGAACTAAAGCCCATAAAACAGGCACATTCAGTCTTAATTCACAGATAATTTACAGTATAGGCTGAGGTTCTTCTTTTTTATTTTTTCAGCTTTTTGTTTTTGTACTGATGAAAAGGGCTTGAACCCAAGGCCTGGGTACTGTCCCTGAGCTTTTTTATTCAAGGCTAGTACTCTACCACTTGAGACACAGTTCTACTTCCAGCTTTTTGCTGGTTAATGGAGATAAGAATCTCAGGGTCTTTTCTCCCCAAGCTGACTTTGAATCACAATCCTTAGATCTCAGCCTCCTGAGTGCCTGCGATTACAGGTGTGAGCCACCAGTCCCCAACCATTTTAGTTTAGTATATTACGTAATCTTATTGTATAACACAGTCTCTATAGTTAATTTTATGTTCTCACTTTCTTCTTGGTAATACAAATTACCTCCCATGTCAAAGAATTTGTGGAAACGAATTAGGTTATGAGTTACTTGGAACAAAGGAACCTATTGTCATCCTTGTCACCTAACTAGTGCCTTGATTTTGCATATAATAGTAAGTTGACTTTTAAATGGACAATTTTTGGCTATATTCATGAAAAAAACAGCATGATGTTTGTATTAAGCAAATGCGTTAGTACAGTCTACATTTATTTTATTTTATTTTTGGGGTCTGGTCATGGGGCCTGAACTCTGGGCCTGGGCACTGTCCCTCAGCTCTTCAGCTCAAGGCTAGTGCTCTACCACTTGAGCCACAGCACCACTTC